GCTATTTTAAATAGGGCGATTAGGAAAGGCCTCACAAGTGAAGCTTCAATCCTCAGTTTGTCTGACTTGAAAATCCTGCTGTCTCAGAATCAGAATAAAGAAGAAAAGGAGCCCATTCAGACTCCAGACCAACCATCCACTTCCTTCTATTTGCTCTTCTAAGCAGTGTTTAAACAGATTCTCTGTTGGTTTTGGTGCCCCAAACATGCCTTCTCTGCCTCTCTTCTTGTTTAGTTAGCTTCTACAACGTCTTCAGACCTCAGCTGAGCTCTTCCTTTTCTCAAGAACTCAGATTCCTTAAGACTAAGTTTGGTGACCCTCTTATATTCTCCCAAAGCTCTCTGAACTTAGCCCTATCCCAGCAATTATCTTAAATGTACCACAGCTATCAGTTTACAGGTTTGACTACTTTTCCAGACTATTAGGCCCCTTGAAGGCAGGGATTGTGTCTTGTTCACCGTATGTGTTGAATGGATGGATGACTAGTACAATTTGAGGGCAGAAATGGTGAAGATCTAAAAGTCATTTTTGGACCAAAGATAGTAGTGCTGTAAGAAAAATATAGTTGGCACCAAAAAATCAATTTGGAATAGAAGACTGTGGGACAAGGACCAGAGCTAAAAATATGACAGACGCTATCTGAACACAAAAGAAAAAAGGCAGTGATAAACAAAACACTGAACAATCCTAAAGTCATTACTACTTGCTTTGAATGCGTAAGATGTTTCCTTATGTACCAGATTAATCCTATAAAATTATTTTGTTGATTATTTCCTGAGCACAAAAGGCTAGGCAATAGAAAAAGGCAGTCTAGGAGAGGGCTGCTGGATAGTATAGGGAAATTAGGTTGGAATTCGCCTTCTAGAGATTCACCAGTCTTCTAGAGATGGGTCATAAAGCTAAGTACTGTCACAAAGAGAAAAAAGGTAGGGAAAACAATTATTTCACTAACTCTTAGCCGTATCTAGCTCTACCATATCTTCCTTGCACTGAATTTTTCATCATATATTAGAGAAGAAATTCTTTGAGAAGCTAGCAGAGAGGTATAAAGTCAACATTACCAATGGACAAGCTGCAGAGTACGTATCTCAAGTAACGCTACAAATATACTCATTTACTTAATTTTTCACACCTAAATGAGAAATTACCATTCACAAATTAATTTTATTCTATATATTGTTCATTATACTCCTTTTCACCAACTAACTGCATTTGTCACATTTTTTTTATAGTTTGCTCCTTACTGAAAGATTCAAACCTTCTTCATCCTCCAAAGAATAGAAAAAGAAGGAAAGAAGGAATGAAGGAAGGAGGGAAGAAAGAAAAAAGAAAAGAAAAAAGAGGTAAACTATTACCTGCCCTGGAAGAAAATATTGTGCAAAAAGGCCAGAAAGATATGTCTGGGAGCTCAACAGGGGAGATGTATGCATGGCTCAACTTTTGTCTTCCTTTATGTGTGAGAAAGCATTCTGGCCGTGGAAGGAGGGGTCTCTTTCTATTCTTTTTTTCATATATTATAGATGATTTTTTTTTTCATTTTAACATCTTTATTGGAGTATAATTGCTTTACAATGGTATGTTAGTTTCAGCTTTACAACAAAATGAATCAGTTATATATATACATATGTTCCCATATCTCTTCCCGCTTGCATCTCCCTCCCTCCCACCCTCCCTATCCCACCCCTCCAGGCGGTCTATAGATGATTTTTAAATAAACTTCAAATTTAATTGGTGTTTAGGAAAATAATTCTTTACTCCTGAGACAAAGGATTATTTATTTTATAAATTTAGCACAATGGTTTATTTTCTTTTCATTTAAAGAACTACAGCTTAAATCCAATCCTAATGAAATCCCCATAATTCAAATAATTTTAACAGTTATACAGAAGTGTTCCTAATTGATAAATATAATGATGGCCAGTTAATGACTTCTCACTGATCTTGTAAATTTTTAAAATAAAAGATGGGCTTTTTTTCTATGAGATATTAAAAGTCTCTTTAAATTAGATCCAGGACACCTTTTGCTCTGTAATTTTTCAATATATTTCAACGCAAAGACAACAAACAGTGCTTAGTTTCACAGAATATGAGTTTTTACAAAGTTACACACTTTTTCTTCAGTCTTATTGTAACCTAGCTCTTACTTATGCAATGGATGCAGTATTATTGCATGGCTTCTCCCATTGAGCCAAACTGTCACTGAGCAGCTTGTTTGCATAATTGTGCTAACCAAGATAACACGGCTTTCTTCAGAAAAATCCCCTGTGTATAGGTAAAACAAAAACAAAAACATACAGCATGTAAGTGTTTGTTGGTGATCTGTTACCTCACTAAAGTGACACTTACAAAGGCTAATATAACGAGTAAGTGTTACATGATTAGCTAAGCAACTCTTATTCAGTATAAGATACCAAGTGAAATACTTTGAATAAGTTAGGGGTTCTATTAAAGAATGTTCTGATCATATTTATCCCCAAAGGACAAAAACTTCATTTATTTAATTTAAAAAAGGTATGCTAAAATTATTGATAAGAGAAACAATCTCTAATACAGGTATACTACTAAGCTAATACTTGTACTCCATAAAAATTCAGTCTCAAACTTGGCTGGGTCCACAGTGCTAGCCAGCAATCCTCCCATTCCATCTGCCTTTCCCCTCTGCAAATATTCTACACCTTTACCACTCTTCCCAAGGTTTCAATCTCATCTCTTTTCTTCTAACTGTCAGAGGATAACTTCATCTCCAATTTCATAGAGAACACAGACCCAAAAGACAGGAACTCCCTCAACATTTTATTTCCATCTGCCCAATTCTGGCCATATACAAAGGGGATCTGCACCCACAATCATCTTTCATCTTTCACACAATTCACTCTATTTAGGTCTTTTACTGAGAACAAGTTCTCCCAGTAAAAAGTAATTTCTACAAGAAAATAAAATTTGTTTTTGGAGAGATGTCGTTTCCTGAAACACATTTCAGCACACTGTTTAATTAAAGGTTTTTCTTAAAGAAATTCAAAAGCAAGTCTCTCATTTATTCACTTATCTCACTTATTCAGCCACCTCTGACACAATACTACTGTTATAAAAGTCATTAGCAAGATTATTTATAATTCTCAAAGTACTTCACTACCATTCAGGCTAACCAAATATCCTTTACCATGATTATGGAGTCTTTGTTTCTTATTGTGGTCACACAGATAAAATGTTACATTCAAGCTTTAGCATCTGAATATAGATGAAGAAAAGCAAAATATAAATACATTGATACTTGATTTAAAAATAACTTTAATTCCAAATTATGGCGAGTAAAAAAGAATTAACTAAAAATAAGAATGGGGGAAAAAAGGGTGAAAAAAGAAAGAAAATAAGATTAAAAGAGAAATAGGTAAGAAAGGGCAAAAGAGAAAGAAAACTAGCTTTACCTACTTTTCACTTAAGCTAGTTCACTGTACTATTCACTCTCTATGTTGAATTATCCGATGAATCACTGTTCAGAGTCCTTCATCCTTATACTTTAGTTTCCTTAGACAGCAATTTCAGAACAACATCAATACAGTTTCCTTAAGCTATAGCAGGAAACCATAACAGTATTTTCTCTAGTGTTTCAGACTCAGAAGTTCATTTTCTTTCCAGAAAATCTTTTCTTAATTATAAAATTAATAAAGTCAACCTCCAAAACCCACTTCATAATTTTCCAATTCTACCTAATTCTTCTGCTTTAAGTAGAAGTGTATCATGAAGTAAAACTAAAACACTGAGACAGAATGATCAGAGTAAGAAAAATATTAAAAGGAGAGGACGTTATAGTGTTTGCATATGTATAAAGATAGCCTTAAAGAAAGAATATAAATAGAAAAAAAAACTATCCTTCATTAATAAAAGCAGGAAATTGAAAATGCTGTTGCAGTTGCCCTCAATTTTCTTCTCATATGAAATTCTCCTGCTTTTATATATATATGTGTGTGTGTGTGTGTGTGTGTGTGTGTGTGTGTGTGTGTGTGACAAAACAATTCTTTATCCTCTTTCAATATTGTTATCTAAACACTGTACTTATATGTGTGGTGTGTGTGTGTGTGTGTGTGTGTGTGTGTGTGACAAAACAATTCTTTATCCTCTTTCAATATTGTTATCTAAACACTGTACTGTGTCAAAAACTGAAACAATTTGCCTCAAAAAATTTCTTTCTGTAAGTAGCTTTGTGGCTTACAGTTACTTTACAAGATGGAAACTTCCAGAGTTGGTAATTTACAGACTGATTTTATAAAGAATATAAAGCATAAGACACCCAGAGTTCAATTCCTCAATGTCTGTTCTTCTACTGAATTATAATCCAAACCCATTTTTTAGGTGTTATGACATTAAACTTATATTAGTATCAGTTATAATTGACACATAAGTTATTTATTCCTACCTGAGAACTCCATCTACTTGGTCTTTGGTGTAGCCTTTTCCACTTTCACCACTACCAGAGTAGCTGTCCTTTGTGCAATTAGGCTTGCTTTGATCACTACTACCTGACGGTTTTCGGCAATGAGGGCTATTTCCAGCAGTGCTTCCATTTTTCATAATTATTTCCAATAGTGCTGTGGAAAGATACAGAAAGCATACTATCTCTGTTTACATACACATGGTCTTGAGAAAAAAGTTATAAAGCTGACAAATTGTGTACTTCAGAAAGATACACCATAGGGTCTTTTAAAATAAATAGCAAGCATTCCCTTATGTACTTAGCTGTTGACAGACTACTGATCACCATTTAGAAGTAGAATATTAAGAAGTTTAATGTTAGTAACTCAAAATTACTATCATCCAATAACTTATGACATACTTTTATTTGTCACATCATGGTGAAACTGCAGAATACCAAAGAAAAAGATAGTCCTTAAAGTAGCCAATGAGATTACCTAAAAAGAAACAGAAATTAGACTTCCTATTTATTTCTCAGCAGCAACAATGGCAGCTAAGTGAGTAATACCTTCAAAATACTTAGGGAGAATAACTGTCAACTTGAGTTCTGCACTAATTTTCTGAAAATTAGATAAGATTAAAATAAAAACATTTTCAAACAAACAAAAACTGAGAAAATTTACCACTAAGATTTCACTAGAAGATACTTAAAATACATATTTTGAACAAAAGGAAAATGCTTGCAGACAGGCTGAGATGTAAAAGGGAATGGACATCATGAGGTCCAAATACTGTGGAGCAAACACTGTGGTAATGTGTGAGTAAATCTAAACTGAGTCCATAAAGCAACAGCATATATCTAGGATCTCCTAGAAAATACTGGAGAGGTACAGAAGAGGGGTAGAGAGAATATATGAAATAAGAATGGCCATGTATATTCATAATGATTAAAGATGGGAGGGTGGTAGGGATTGATTAAACTATTCTCTCTCCTTTTGGGTATGCCTGAAACTTCCCATAATGAGTTAAAACTAAACATTGAAAAAATAAAATCAACAGAACTAAAAGGAAAAAACAGAGAAACCCACCTTGACAGTAAAAGATTTTAACACATTTTTAATCCACAACTGACACTGGGTCGATTAAATAATTACTAAGGATACAAATGACATAAACTTCTAATTTATCAAGTCTGATCTAAGAAACATAAAGTAATTATATCCAACAAATATGAATATTCATTCTTTACAGGCACACAAGGAATGAAAATTGACTACATTATAACTAGACCATAATCAAATCTCAAATAATTAGTATTATAATATACTACAATCTCTGAGCAAAATGCATTTAAGCGAGAAATCAATTACAAAAATGTAACTGGATCACAAATGGGTTGGAAAGGAGAAGAGTCTAGAAAAATTCATGTATCAGAGAAATAATCAAAATATGAACAAGAAAATAGAATTGAAGAAAAATGAACATACTACATATCAGATTTTGTGGGTCATCAAATGGTGCTGGCACAACTGGAGAGCTATATGAAAAACAATGAATCTGGACCCCTTCTTCACACCATACACAAAAATTAGCTCAAAATAGATCACACACCTATATGTAAGAGCTAAAGCTATAAAACTTTTAGAAGAAACTATAGGAGTAAATCTTTGTGACTTTGATTTAGTCCAAAATTCTTAGATTTGACAAATTAAGTGGCAAAAGAAAAAACAGAGAAACTAGACCTTATCAAAATTGAAAACTTTTGCCCCTCAGAGAATATCATCAATAAAGTAAAAAGACAATCCACAGAATGTGAAAAAATATTTACAAAATCATATATCTGAAAGAGACATATATCTAGAATAAAGGATTCTTACAATTCAATAGTAAAAGGACCAAAAACTCAATTAAAAATGGGTAAAGGATCTGAATAGACATTCTCCAAAATAGATATACAAGTGATTAATAAGTACATGAAAAGTTGCACAATGATAGCCACTAGGCAAATGAAAATTAAAACTACAATGAGATACCACTTTACATCCACTAGGATGACTATCATCAACAAGATGGACAATAACAAGTGTTGGCAAGGATATGGAAAAATGGGAACCCTTATACATTGCTGGTGGTAATGTAAACTGCTATGTCCACTTTGAAAAATCATCTGGTAGTTCTTTAAAAGATTAAACATATAGTTACTATTTGACCCAACAATCCTATCCCTGGGTGTATACCCAAGAGAAATGAAAACATACATGTATACAAAAACTGGTTCACAAATGTTCATAAGAGTATTGCTCATAATAGAAAAAAGTTGAAACAACTGAAATGTCCATCAAATTATGAACAGATAAATAAAATGTGATATGTCTATATAATGGAATATTATTTGACAATTTAAAAAATGAAGTATTGATATATGCTACAACATGGATGAACCTTGAAAACATGCTAAGTGAAAAAAGCCAGTCACAAAAGACCACATATTGTATGATTCCATTTATATGAAATGTATAGAATAGGCAAATCTACAGAGACAGAAAGATCAGTTGTTGCCAAGGGTTACTGGGGAGGGAAGGATAGAATTGGGGAGAAATGAGGAGTCATTGCTAGTGAGTATGAGGTTTCTTTCTGTGTTGAATAAAATGTTCTAAAATTAATTGCTGTAATGGTTGCACAACTCTGTGAACCCACTGAATGGTATACTTTAATTGAATGAATTGTAAGGTATGTGAGTTACATCTCAGTAAAGCTGTTATATATATATTTTTTAAAATCCAGCATTGTCATTGCCACACGGCTTGTGGGATCTCAGTTCCCTGACAAGGGACTAAACCCAGGCCACAGCAGTGAAACTGCTGAATCCTAACCACTAGACCACCAGGGAACTCCCGATAATTATTCTTTTTTTTTTTTTTTTTTTTTTTTTTTTTTTTCTCCCTTGTTTTTGCAGCACACGGGGCTCTCCCGTTGCGGAGCACAGGCTCTGGACGCGCAGGCTCAGCGGCCATGGCTCTCGGGCCTAGCCACTCTGCGGCATGTGGGATCTTCCCAGACCGGGGCACGAACCCGTGTCCCCTGCATCGGCAGGCGGACTCTCAACCACTGCGCCACCAGGGAAGCCCCCCGATAATTATTCTTAATATTTTACATATAAGAAATTTCTCCCATATCTTTTTCTTAGCTAATGCATTCAAGAGGTCACCAAAGACATACGATATTCAGTTTTCATAACAATCTAGCTGTAGATGGTACAGAAAGGCTCTTAATTAGACACCAATCTAGTAGTTATTAACAATATAAGAACAACATATAGTTAATTTTTAACTATAGTTTAGTTCATATTTAATGCAATCACATTAACCTTGAGAGCAGAAGCCAGCATGGTCTAGTGGGTAGTAGTTCACAACTTTTTAATATGAAAAATTTTGGGGAAATTCTGGGAAGACAGCAGCTTACATTTTAAACCTCATAAATTAGAGCAATTAGACAGCAAAATCAAAACCTCATGTACAAAATCCCAAAATACAAGAAGGTGGGGACAAGCCACCAATAGTTACAAGATCTATGTGGGTAGTATCATCTGTGCAGGAAAAAGCAGAGGACAGTAACAGGGCATTTTACCAGTCCACAGAACAAAATAACTGCAAAATAGCCAACAGGGACTCTCTATGAAGCAGAGCAGGCGAAAATGAGAAAAGTGAATAAAAAGGAATGGGTTTTGCTCACTACAATAGCATATGATTCAAAGGGTTCACAATAAACTCTTAAGGGCATCCAGTCACTACAATTCTCAAAACTAATCAGTCAAAGCTCTCCTCCAGAACAAAGCCACACCAAGGAGAAACTGCTGGGAACAGGATCCAAACTGAAGAGACGAGAGGCAATAGAAAAAAAACAAAAGCGAAATTCCAGATAAAGTGGGGAAGGAGAAAGGAGTGAGGAGATCTTATATAGCAAGGTGACATACTTTCAAACATTACACAGAAACTGGAGAAGATCTCTGTGTATTTAGAAAGGCTAACTAACTTCACATAAAAATGAATAAAAGAAAATGATAGAAGGGAAATCTGATACAAAGTTACATTAAAAAAAAAAAAGAACAGGATAAATCTCTGAACACAATGAAAGCACACCACAAAGACTTGCCAACAAAATAGATAAACACTATAACCTACTATTTCAAAACAAGCTGAAAAGACTTTTAAAAATTATTCACAATACAAAAGAACAACATAAATTAGAATTAAAACCCCCCAAATTATCTACCCATAGCTTAGGTGATAAAACTCAGGAGACAAAAAAAAAAAAGAAATGGAAAAATCAATTCAAAAAAGAAGAATTAAACTAGAAGAAACAAAGAGTTAATAAACACAACAGAACTGCTGTGTAAATGAAAGAGAACATAAAAAGTACAATTTTTTAACTAAAACAAATGAAAAAGGCAAAAAATTAGAAAGAAAATGGCAAATATCAAAGATAGTTAAAGAAGATCCAACATACATATAATGAGTCCTGAAGAAGAAAAATAAAGGAAATTAAACCAATATAACAATAATTGGAGAAAACTTTTCTGATATAAAAAATAAAAACATCTGAAACCACATAATGAAAGGGCCAATCATGTACCTAAGAATACTGACCCAGAAAAACCAACATTAAGATATACTCTAGTAAAATTAATTGAGCATCTAGTCAAAAAGATCAAATGGCTTATTCTCTTATAAAGAAAATCAGATTGTCATCAGACTTTGCTCATCAGTAGTACTTGCATAAACAATAGAAATATATATTTAGATACCCAAAGAAAGAAAATTTGAATCAAGGATTTTGTATCCCTTACTAACTTCAAGCATTAAGACCCACAGCTGAACTGTTTTCGACATTCCAGAACTTAGGGAGCATAGTTCCCACAAGGCCTTCCTAGAAATCTACTAGAGAACAGGCTTTAGGAATCCAAAATTAGACATACAATGACATAAGGACTGATGGTGAACATTAAATGTACAGTGACCTATTGAGTTAAAACTGAACTACAATTAAAAGAGAGCACATAGTATATAATAATAATATGCTCTGACACTGTAAATAGGTTCAAATATTTTTTAAATGGTAGGATTCCTCTGTCTTTCCTTTTACTTTTTTAAAAAAAAAGATTGTCTTCTCTTCCTTT